GCAACGTAGCTGGACCGCAGGAGAAAGCGCTGCAGCACATGGGAGGAGCCAGCACTTGCAGTGGAGGTGAAACATGAGCAGTTGCGATCCCCTCCCTGCCAGCTCCCCGCCACGCACCTGCCAGAAGGGAATCAGGAAGCCGCTGTCGTTGGATGGCACATGCTCGTTCGCCGCAGCCGTCGAGATGTGGCAGGTCAGTGCCTTGCTGCTCAGCGCCGTGCCAAGGGTTTTCAGGAAGCTGGTTGGCCGCACGTGCGGCGCTTCCCCGGAGGCCTTGCGCATGCTGTGCTGGTGGTGTGCGTAGGTGTGCATGTGCCGCTTGCTTGCCTTCCATCCTGCAGCAGCATGCGGAGAGGCTAGCGGGTCAGTTCAGACAATATTCAAAAACAAATCGGCAACATGGCTCGCTGCTTCGGATCACAAATGCCCGCTCACCTCCTGGCGGCAGCAGGTCAGGAATGGGGGCCGAGTTGACCACAGTGAGCATCCCCGAGCCACGCACGGACATGGGCCGCTGGCGCAGTGTGGAGCTCCTGCAGCTGGTGATTGTTTCGGGCGTCAACAGGACCACGCGGCTGGATGCCTGCAACCCCAAGTCGCCCGCCTCCTGGTCCTCTGCCAATGTCGGCAGCTTGTCCACGGAAAAGGCTGCGGCGAAGTTGCCACTGGCGTGAAAGGGAGAGGGCATCGGCAAGGTGTTGGCGTGGGCGTGGCTTGGGCCCATGTTGTCGTGGGCGGAGCCCAGCTTTCCATCACCGCCTTCACCAGCCGCTGTGGACAACGGTCCCGCCGATTCAGACTTGGCTGCCTTTGCCAGCTGCCGCCTGATTTTCTGGGATTTCACAATGCTTTCCATGGTGTCGAACAAAGGCTGCGCCCAGATCTGCAGAAAGGGGCATCCATCCAACACGCGCCAGGTGAGCGCTGGAAAGGATCCGGTGGGGTAGCGATTGAGCACCACTTCTCGCTGCTCACCTGCCACACCGTGGCTGCCTGCAGCAGCACCAGCAGTTGGGCGATCACGATGACCCAGGCAGGACAATCTGCAAGGGACAGAGGCATGGCGTGGGTCGGCTGGCAAACTAATGTGGCGACTGCGCGCAGGGCACACTGCCCGGAACGCAGCCCCTGGCCATCCCGCCAGCCATACGCACCCGTCAGGTTGTCGAAGCCCTCCAGCACATTGCCGGGAACATCATTGCCGAATGATAGGTAGCACACCACGCTGGACAGGAGGTAAAAAGTGCCCGCCATACTCACGCCTGCAGCAGCACAAGCAGTGGTGGCACATCATGGTTGGTACTGGCACCCCGGGCGCATGACAGAGGCAGCGGCATGGCAGGACGGGTGTGATGCAGCTACAAGAATACAAAACTGACCAATGTTTATTGCTTTCCGCATTGTCGGTGTTGCGGGCGGCGGCTGGCGAAGGGTGTCTTGAATTTCCATAATGATCTCGACGAACCCAACTGCAACAGACACAGGCAGAGGCAGCATGAAACAAGAACTGGGGGCAAGCGAGATGTAGCAGGCATTTGGGGCATGACCCCACATGCAAACGCTAAGTTGCCGAGCGATGCCAAAATGTTGAAAGCTTTGTCGGCGGAGGATGACTCGATGCCGCCGACGGTTCCGAGGCCGTTTCTAGCATAAATGCAGCCAAGGACCAGCACGATGGTGGAATAGAGGGCTGCACACGTGCAGCCAGGCAGGCAGTGAGGATCGGCAGGTTCCAGGCAGGGCTGCCCTGGCAGGGCAGTCTTATCCGGGCGGCGCTGCTGCCTGCCCACGCATCATCAGGCACGTGCAGCCCAAGCCAGCTCCGGTGCTCACCTGCCGCCCCCGTCGCCAGTGTGCTGACCCACCACAGTTCGGCAAGGGAGGGGATCTGGCTGAGGAGCACCTCCACTGCTCCCACCGCAAGCACACAAGGGTATTGTTTCATCTCTTCATAACCCAGCCGCTGGATCGCATACTGGAGGGCGGCGCCTCCGGTCAGCGAGTAGGCTGCGGCAGGGTGGAGGGGAGCAATGCCTTTGTGTCCCACAAGCAATTGCAATGGACGGCAAGAGGAGGGATTGCAGTGGCCTCCTGTCGCATGCCACTCGCCACACGCACCGATGCAGGTCAGCACCATGTTGGTGCACTGGAACACTGCCACAAGCTTGGCGCTCCGGTCGCCCTGCACATTGAGCACGAGGCATTAGCGAAGCAGGCAGGGAGCAAGGTGGCAGATGCCACTAACCCGGGGGGGAAACTGCACCTCACCAGCACGTATTGCACGGAATGGTGATAGCGAGCAAACTCGATTCTGTCGACCATGTACAGCCGAGATATGATGTGAGCGGACAGCAGCGTAACCAAGTAGAATGCTATCAGTAGCAAGGGCCCCGCCACCCAACCCATCCACGCGATCGCCTGTGGCAGTGTCAGTACGCCCACGCCCGCCTGTGGCAGGCAATGCAAGGGGAGCGCCGCAGCAACGACCCAGCGCAAATGAAGTGAGGCAGGGCAGGAAGTGACGGGCAAGAGAAGCCAGCGGAGGCTCAGGGCCAGCGCGGCGGCTGGCAGGCGGCAGCGGCGGGGAATTGCCCGCTGCCGGCTCCCGCCAGGAGCGAAGATCAACCACAGCCACTCACCACTGAAGCGAAAATGAGGACCACAACAGAGCCTAGCGTGCCTGCAGGCTTGTGACCGCTCAGGGTGGGCTCAGCATACCGGCGGGATTGCAACCAGCTGTACCCACACACACTGATCGCATCTAACGCACCATGCTTGCCGTTGGTCGGCTCCAGAGCCATTTCCACGCCCGTCATGATGACCTCGGAGAGGGCTTGGTTGCGGCTCCCTCAGGGGCGTTGCCTTCACAGCCAGACGCTCGGCTGACAACTCGCATGCCGGAAGAAGAAGTGCGCCTGGGGGGGGCGGGCGCCAGGTGGACGGTGGTGCACCACCTCCCCCTCCCGGGGCCTCCCGGAGAAGGCCTAGAGGCCTTCCTTGCACTCCTGCCTCCGTGAACATTCCAAAATTACGATGTGAAAGGAAGGGCTGCAGCAATTCCAGCCAATGCCCGTGGCACCCTTGCGTCCTCACCGCCGCTGCCGCTTGGCGGCGCGCGCGCCTGGGCCGCTGTCGCCGCCAGTGACGTCCGCAGACTCAAACAGCGGCTTGAGCGGCACGGGCTTGAGATCCCGCCACAGCTGGCGCGCCGCCACCATGGGCCCGCTGCTGATGCGCCCCTCCACCGCCGCCGCCGCCGCTTCCCTGGCCTCCGGGCTGAACAGCTTGGCTGCTTTCAGCACCAGCGCCACCCAGCCGCTGGGCTTGGCCTTGCCGGCAAACAGCTGGCACACGCCATCCCACAGGAGCAGCAGCGAGGCCAGGGGCGCAGGGTCGCTGATCTGGCCGCCAGGCTGGCTCTTGGCCAGCGCCAGCAGGCCATCCCTGCACACCTCCTCCAGCACCCCCTCGACGTCATTGTGCAGCTGTTCATCTGCAGGTGGAGGGAGGAGGGGTGGCAGCGACAGCATCGGTGACAGAATCTCCACTGCTGATCGCCACCAGCGCTGGCACCAGCACCAGCCGGGCGGGTAAAGGGCTCGGTGCTCCGATGGCGAGGCTAGCACCAGGGGGGCAATAAAAAGCAATGGCATGGTGCACACCTGTGGAGGGTGAGAAGCGGTAGCGTGCCAGCACAGCAGCACCGCAGCTGGCGGCCTGCAGCGCGGATGCAAAGGTGTCCATCGCAGCATCCCAGTGCTGCTCCCCACAGCTGCCCAGAAACTGGGCTCGCCTGGCCAGATAGGCTGCCAGGTAGGAGTGGCAGTACCACATCCAACCAGGTTCTCCCGGCAGGCTTCTCTCACACCTGCTTCCAGCTGCTGCTGCTACTGCAAGGGTGCCATTCGATGCGCTTTCCTGCTGCTGCTGCCCTGGCGGCGGTGGTGGTTGCGGCTGCGGCTGCGGCTCGTTGAGGCAAAGCGCCACCGTGGCGCAGCCGCCCGCGTCGTCAATCCGCAGCGCAACATACACTCTGCCATCTGCCGTTCCATCCCCTTCTTGTGCTGCCTTGCCTTCGCTGTCAGCAATGCTGCCGTTGGTGGCGCCGGTGGCAGGTCTGCCGCCACTTGCCAGCCTGATGGCTCGCTCAAACAGTTCCTGTGAATCGCCCAATCTGCGCTGCAGCAGCCACGCCAGCTGCGCTGCATCGCCGCTGTCCCGAGCTGCATCTAGCGCATCCTGGGCTGCTACCTGGGGTGGCAGCAGGAGGGCCAGCAGCGGCAGCATGTACTTGGAAAGCATGCAGGGAGTGCCAGCAGCGGGATCCAAAACATCCAAGCGGCGAAGGCACCTCCGTGCCTGCCAGTCCCCAGCGGAAGCTGTGCAGGCACTGCTGCTCAGCACCGAGCAGCAGCACACCTCTTTGAGGTCTGCCAGGGCACAGAGCGCTGCCGGGTACAGGGCCGACGGCTCCACCTCTGCCAGCACCTCCAGCAGCCGCTGCTGCACCGCCTGCAGCTCCTCGCTGTCCGTCTGCGGCGGAGCACGGGAGGGGCATGGGGGGGGGTGGCTTGAGAAGTGCCTAGGCAGGCTGGTTCTGCTTCGGTCAGAAAGCAGACATCAACCTGTGAACAGCAGGCAGCATCAGGCACCACACCAGACCTCCAGGCTCACCCCCTTCTTGCCGCCCGAGATGGCAGGGTTGAGAGAGGAGACGAGCGCCGCCAGGGCGGCGTGCGGAGAGCACAGCACAGCGTGGCCGCCCGTGTAAAGCCACCCTTCCCAGGCCTCCCGAGAAACCGGCAGCCCACGCTTAGCAGCTGTGTCTGTGGTCACTTCCACAGTAGTTTCCCTGTCGCTCCTGTTGCTTAGCTGTATCCAGCAGTGGTCTTCGCTGATCTGCATGCGTGCCGCCGCCAGCTCAGCGTGCTGCTGGTACCGCCGGCTGAGTGCATGGCATAGGGCGTAGGATGTCGTGACCACGCCTGCGCAATCCAGCTGCCTCTTCAGCCCAGGCATGCCGCCCGGCAGCAGCAGCGCCGCAAAGTTATACACGTGCTGCAGGGTTAACCGGGCGCGGCACAGGGAGGCGGGTTGGCCTGGTGGCGGAGGCATTGCCGCTTGTCAGGTGGGGCTCTGCACGCAGTGAAGCACTGGCAAAACAACACGACGAAAGCGCAACTGCCAACCTGCGCGTGCTGCAGGTCCTTGCTGTATCCCTTGTTCAGCTTGCTCCACACCGCATCAGCCACCGCCTTGACCTTGGCTGCAGGCGCCGCCTCCGCCTGGAGCATACCACTGCCTGCCAGCTCGCCAACGTACGCCTCAAAGGCCGCCGCTAGCTGATTGACCGTGCCGGGCAGGTCTGCCGGCCATTTCTGCTTGCTGGCATCCTTGGGAGTCAGGCTCAGCTCCACCGCACCCAGCGCTATGCTGCAATATAGGAGCGAGGAGGGAACGACGGTGACGGTGGCGGCATGGCGGCGGTGCCTTTGGCAACTCTCAGCCTCTGTAGAGCGCCGCAAGTCCTTACCTGAGCCTTGCAACATCAGGAGTTGACTGCTGGAGCTCGTGGCGAAGCAACGTCTCCAGGTATTCGATACACCGAGCTGCTTCAGGGCTTTTGAGTGCGTACTGCATCTATTACGATTGCAGAGGCCGTCAATTGGGCGACGAATCGCATTGTTGACAACCTCCAGAGCTTCAGGAGGCCACTGTACCGTAACTGTACCGCCGCAGCGCCGCTGGCTGCTCGAGCCTCATCACGGGTCCCTCGAATGCTGTCAACGCACGTCACATCCACAGTAGTAGGCTGTAGACGCTCCAGACACCCATCTCGCCTTTTCTCGATCACCGACCCGCCGCAGCAGACTTTTGCACACCCAGATTGCGTGAATGAAGCGCATCAGAGACGAACTGGAGGAGGGCGGGGACGATGGCGAGGACACGCGGGAACAGGCCGCCCCAGAGGAGCCTGCAGCGGCGGCAGAGGCGCAGCCGGAGGACGAGGAGGACGACAAGCCTCTGATGTCGCACTACAAGATGAGCAGGAGCGTGCGCAAGGGTGCCGAGTGCCCTTACCTGGACACCATCTCCCGCCAGGTGCGCCGCCGTCGCTGCCGCCAGCCCCCGCCGTCCACAGCAGCCCTGCGCAAGCCTGCATTTGATTGCTTCCAGTGTTGCAGCTGCACGCAGCGCCACTGCTCTCAGCTGCCGTGCTCCCCGATCTGCTGCAGAACCTGGATTTCGACTTTGAAAAGTGCTGCTCCGTGACGCTGAGCGGCCACAACGTGTATGCCTGCCTCGTGTGTGGCAAGTACTTCCAGGTGGGTCTTGCTGCTCCTGGCAGCCCCTGTTGCACCTGCTGCGAGCGTTTCTGCCTGATCAAGTGACAAAAGTCGCTGTGCAACCCTGCTTCCGCCGCTGCTGTGTGACCCTGCGTTCTCGTTCCGGGGTGCAGGGGCGGGGCCCCAGCACGCAGGCGTACACGCATGCACTAGAGGCGGGGCACCACATGTTCATGAAGGTGTGTGCTGTGTGTGTGCTGCGGGAGGCAGGTGTGGTGGGGCAGGGGTGCGCTGCCGTTTTGTCGGGCGGTGCCGGCCGGGGCAGGGCGTCGTGTTGCCCCGACGCCGTGTCCACCCAGCTCGCTGCCCGCCTGGCGCTGCGGCACGGTGTGCCTGCAGGTGGAGAGCGGGCGTGTGTACTGCCTGCCCGACATGTACGAGGTGCAGGACAGGTCGCTGGCTGACATCCAGTACGTGCTCAACCCCACTTTCACGGGTAGTGCTGGCCGCTGCCCTGGCGCTGCACATTGTGGGATGTGTGTTGGGGGGCAGCACGCCAGTTGCTTGCGAGAACGTCCAACCCCACCCTGGCTTTGGCGCTGCCCGCTCCCCTCACCCTGCCCTGCCTCCCCCGCCTGTGCAGCTGAGGACGTGTCCAAGCTGGATGGCGGCGTGAGCTGGGCGCGGGCCCTGGATGGCAGCGAGTACATGCCTGGGCTGGTGGGGCTGAACAACATGAAGCAGAACGACTATGCAAACGTGGTGGTGCAGGCGCTCATACGCGTGTGGCCCATACGGTGGGTGGTGGCTGGGTGGGCAGCTCGCAGGCGGTGCGTCCATTGCTGCACTGAGGGCCCACGCGCACTCACACGCACTCAACACCCAATACCACACACCACCTGCTCGCAGCGACTTCTTCTTGCGCCCCGAGAACTACGCCTCGTGCCAGTCGCTGCTGGTGCAGCGGTTTGGGGAGCTGGTGCGCAAGGTGTGGAACCCGCGCGCCTTCAAGGGCCAGGTCTCGCCACACGAGTTCATGCAGGCACGCGGCAGCTGGCTGCTGGCACGCAGCAGCTGGCACGCAGCAGCTGGCAGCTGCCGTGTGCTGCATGGCATGCGGCAGGTCTTCGTGCTGCTTGGGTGGCAAAGCAGCATTGGGCCTCACCTGGGCAGCAGCGGCGCTAGCCAATTTGGATTCGGATTCGGATGGGCCACTGCCCGGCAGCTCCACATACCGCCCCCGCTGCTGCTCGCCGCTGTGCCGGCTCCGCCACCTGCTTATACCGGAGCTGGCCCACCTGCCTCCCCGCAGGCGGTCATGTCTGCCAGCAGCAAGCGCTTGATCATCGACCGGCAGAGCGACCCTCTGGAGTTTTTGTCCTGGCTGGTCAACAGCTTGCACCTGGACCTGACGGGAGGGAAGCGCAAGAAGCGGTCGGGTGAGGGCTGCGGGGCTTGCTGGGAGCCAGTCGGCCATGCCTGCTCCACCCTCTCGCTCTCACTGCTGCCACCTCTCCTCCCTCTCCTGCCTTCTTTGTGGCCCGCAGTCATCACCGACTGCCTTCAGGGCGAGCTGGAGGTTGTGACGGAGGCGGGGACGGGCAAGGCCAAGGAGGCGATAAAAGATGTGATCGACCATGTGCCCTTCCTCATGCTGGGTGCGCTGTGGTCGCCCGCTGGTTTGGGCGCACCCAGGGCCTGCCTGCCGCTCGCTTTTCTGCGCTGGGATGCCTTTCTGACGACCGATCGCCCCTGTGCCCTCGCCGCCCCGCCTTGCCCCTCCTGCAGGCCTGGACCTGCCTGCCGCGCCCCTGTTCAAGGATGCACTGGAGAAGGTGATCATCCCTCAGGTCCCCATCTTCGACATCCTGCGCAAGTTTGACGGCCAGCTGGTGCACGAGGACATCAAGGCCGGTGGGTGGCAGGGGGCAGGCTGTGGGCGCCGTGCGACGCTGGCTGCTTTTTGTTGTGCACCCGGAAGCTGTGGGAGGAACATGCCACGGTGCCTGCTGGCCTCCTGGGCCTGCTGCCAGCATCCCCCTACCCTCCTGCACCGGCTTCCTGCGACAGCACGCCTGCGCGCCCCGTCCCCTGCGCAGGGCGGCGGCGCTTCCGCGTCACGCGCCTGCCGCGCTTCATGGTGCTGCACGTGCGCCGCTTCCTCAAGAACCAGTTCTTCGTGGAGAAGAACCCCACCATTGTCAATTTCCCCGTCAAGAACCTGGAGCTGGCGGGGTGCATACCGGTGCCCAAGGGTGCGCCCTGCGCTGGCCTTGCTCGTACAAGCCGGGGCGGTGGCGCGCAGGGGGGGGCAGCCTGGGGCCCGGCTGGCCGCTGGCACTGTGTGCGCCTGCGCCTGCCCCCTCTCCTCCTTGCCTCACCCCTCCACGTCCGACCCGCTGCCGCTGCAGGCCCCGACAGCCAGCCCGCGCCCAGCAAGTACGACCTGGTGGCAAACGTGGTGCACGAGGGCAAGGCGGGGGCGGGGCTGTACCGCGTGCACATACACCGCAAGGTGGGCGCCGCCCGCCTGCTGCCCGCCTTGCGGCCTGCGCCGCGCCGCTCCCCGTTTGGGCCAGCACACAGTGCAGCCTGCCCCACCTGCGGGCGAGGAGCCCAGCCTCTTCCCCTTCTCCTAGCGTGTCCCCTCCTGTCCCTGCTACTGCAGGTGGAGGATGTGTGGTACGAGGTGCAAGACCTGCGGGTGACCGAGGTGCTGCCACAGATGGTGGCGCTGTCGGAGACCTACCTGCAGGTGTATGAGCTGAAGGAGCAGTAGGGAGGGAGGGAGGCGCGGCGGCTGCAGCACCACCGAGCAGCTGCAGCCGAGCACACGGCGCAGACGCTTGTTGCCCTTCTGGCGGCAGACCATCCATTTCAGACTGCCCTTGTGTACTGTTTGCAGCATAATCTTGCATTTAATGAAAGCTCACTTACGGTGTGTTGCATCGGGGTCAAATATTGTGTGCTAGCACTAGCGCTAGGCGGGAGCACCGTGGGCACGCTTGTTCACTCCTGGTCGAGGGGCAAGTGGAATCGAAATGAAATGGCGAGCGGATGTTCAATGCAAAGAGAATGATGTGGAGAGAGTATACAAAAGGCGGGGCTGGCTTTCTTAATCAAACGAGCAGCCACGAGATCACCGCTTCAATGGCGGCTGGCCCTGCTGCTGCTGCTTGAGCTTCAGCTGCTGCACCACCGCCCGCGTGGCCGCCACCTCGGCCCGCAGCTCATCCACCAGGGCAGGCAGGTCGGGGGCCGCCGCCGCGCCGCCCAGGCCCACAGAGCTGCCGCCGCCGCTGCCGCCGCCAGCGGCGCTGCTGCTGGCATCGCTGGCACCCGCGGCTGCCAGCATCTCACGCTGCGCCCGCTCCATCACCTCCTCCTGGAACTCCCTGCGGGTTGTTCACAGGAGGGCCACACAGGAATGTGAGGCCCACCGATCTTCCCGCACCAGCCGGGCAAGGGGTACAAGCAAGCGGGGCGCCAAGCGGCATGAGCGGGCCGACAAGTCCCAGGCCAACCAGGCGCAAGATCTGACATCCTGCAACCAGCTCCCACTGCCTGCTGCTCACCGGATGGCCTGCCGCGTCTCGGCATCCCATTTCCCAAACTCCGCCAGCGCATCGCCCAGTGCCGCCCCCAGCCGCTCGTTCACCGTCTCGGCCAGGGCCCGCCCAATGAAGAACCCCTCCAGAATGTTCTTGCTCTCTTGTGCTGCAGCAGAGGCGAGGTCGCTTGCATCAGATGCATTGGTAGAGATGGCGCACGTCGCAGCTGTCGCAGCAGGCGGTGGCGGCAGGCGGCGCCAACCCACCGCTAGACACTGCATCCCTGCTGCTGCTGGCCCTGACGCGCCGCTGCGCTGCTGCTGCTCTTCTGGATGGCCGCGGGGCAGCTCGGAGGGGTGCTGGACTGGCCTGGCGCACCAGAGGTGAGTGGTGCACCATGGTTGGTGACGCCATGGAGCTCCGCCAGCCTCTCTGCTGGTGATGCCGAATGATCCGATTGATAGCAACGTGTTGTGGTGCTGCATTGTGATGGCCAATGCGCCAGGAGGAAGGCACCAAGAAAACCCCCTCGCGAGGCCTCGGTCGCATTTGCGTGGTTGCAGGCTATCCATGCACCTCCACACGGCACCACAGCGTACTGTGAGTGGACAGAAGCGGTGATTGGCTGCAAAGCGAGGTTTCGGCCCTGCCTCCCCTGCCACTGCCAGGCCCACACACAGCGCCCTGCATTTGGTGTGGGGCGGCCAGTTTGAGCTGAGCTTGCAAAGCCCCGGTGGTCGGTTGGGGGGAGCTGTACTGGAGTGACGGCACCTGAAGGCGGCGGCGCCCATTCCGCGGCATGGCTGGCGCTGGCAAGTCGTTGGGGCCCAAAGAGGCGGGCTTCCTGGACGTGGCAACCTATACCCTCGCGGGGATCCTCCTCTTCTTCCTGGTGGTGTCCCTCACCTTTGAGCGGGTGAGCGCTGCGGGTCCTGTTGGTGCCGGCGCCTGCGCCACCTACCTATCTCCGCGCCATCGAATGCAGCCCCGCCATCCAGCTTACGAACGCGTTGCTGCCGCACCCAAGCAAGGGCCTGACTTCTTGAAGCAATCTTGCCGCCTGCAGAGCACGCAATGGCTCATGCGATACCTGAAGAAGCGGAAGCGCAATGGGCTGGCGCAAGCTGTATCCAACCTGGTGCTGGAGCTGACGCTTGTGGGCCTGGTGTCGCTGCTGCTCATCGTTCTGCAAGACCCCATCGCCAACATCTGCGGTAAGCGGACGTGTCATTTGTTGTTGTTGTTGGTGGTGGTGGTGGTGGTGCCTGGGTCAGGCAGGCGTCTGGGAAGCATCTCTCCCCCCCCCCCAACGCTCGGACGCATGCACCCATGCATGCTCAACATTGTATTGCCTGTGCGTCATGCAGTGCCATACTCGTCGAGCACGATACAGCAATGGAGCTTGATAGGGTGAGGGTGGTTGCCGACGCAACCCCTGGAAAGCCTGCCAATGACTGATGTCGCGCCCGACGCCTGGCCAGCCCTTGCCCGGTGCCGCGGCCCTCCCAAACCCCGCCCTTGCCTGTCGCAGCAACGTGCCGGGCTGCGACTGCTGCCTGGAGGACACAGACACCGTGGGCTCCTGCTTCTTGGCGAGCCGCCAGTGCGGCGACGACTTCTGCAACTGTGGCGGCAAGAATGCATCCTGCCTGGCGGAGGAGCCGTCCCTGCAAGACCTGCTGCAGGAGTGGAGCAACAGCTCGGGCTGCACCCCCACAGAGTGCAGCCTGGAGTACCTGCAGCGCGCGGCGGAGACGCCGCAGGCGGAGGCCGCGCGAGACGCGCTGAAGCTGGAGTGCGATGGTGAGCGGGGCAGGCCGGCCAGCGCTGAGGGCACGCCGTGTGCTGCTGGGTGCTGTGCACCCCTGTGCTGCTTGGAAGTCAAAGCGCTTGGGTGCCGACCCTTGGCCCACACAACCATGCGCAGGCATTGTGGCGCTGGACTCCGAAAAGTGCGGCGAGGGCAAGGCGCAGCTGATCACCATCACTGCCCTGCACCAGGCGCGTGCGCTGCGGGGCGCACCACGGCAGCGGCGCCATGGGCTGCGCGCCTTCCTCATCCATCGCCTGCGCTGCAATTACCTTAAACCCCTCAAGGGTTGAGCCCACCGTTGGTGTGTATGTTTCGTATCTTCCCTGCAGGTCCACATCTTCATCTTTACGGCGGCCATGACCCACGTCTTCATGGGCATCCTCATGATCCTGCTGTCCACCTGGCGCCTGCGCTCCTGGCGCCGCCTTTGCGGGGACGAGGACGAGCATGCGCGCGGGTGAGTCGCCCTGTGGTTTGTATGTACTTATAGTAAATAGTATCTACAGCGGGGGAACTACCCCACTCTACTGTATGTAGCAGCCTGCCACTTACCCTTGGCCCAGCCTTTCTGCCCGCTCCAGCATGCCCCCACACAGTTCCCGTCCCCTGCTGCACCACACACCCGCCTGCAGAGTGCGCAAGCTGCTGGACCGATCGACGACGCCCGAGGTGCAGCCCGCTCCCACGGGCTGGCAGCGCCTCATGAACTCGCGCCTGCTGCGGCGTCACACGATGCCTACGTCCCGCAGCCGCGGCGCGGCCTCCTCGCCGCCCGCCGGTGCTGGGTCCCCGGCCACCACCCCTGCCTCGCCAACTGCCGCTGCTGCGGCTGCTGCTGAGAACGGGGCCGCAGCTCCAGCCGCTGCCTTCAAGGAGGACCAGCCAGCTCCGCCGCCGGCCCGAGGTCACAGCATGCCCGCCCTCGTTGCGGCGGCGGTGGCGGCCTCCAAGCAGGCAGAGGGCGGCGCCGCCTCCGACAAGCTCGATCCCAGCGAGCACAGCCGTGGCAGCGATCAGCTGGCGGTAGCAGAGGCCGCGGCAGAGCGGGGCCAGCAGACGGCGCAGCAGCAGCAGCCGCCGTCGGACAGCACGGGCGGCGAGCCAGGGCAGAATGGCAGCAGCAGAGTGGCCATCCTGGCTCCAGTGGCCTCCAAAGAAATGGATGGGTCCATGCTGCCTGGAGTGGCGCCAGCCGCGGCACCCGGCCCGCCCCCGCAGTTCTCGGTCGCGCGCTCATCCATCATGATCAGGCGAGCAAGCTTGCTGCCGGGCGCCGAAGAGGCACACCTGCCAGGCGGTTGCCTGGCTGGCAGCCCCCCACTGGGGGCCTGCTGGCCGGTGCCTTGTTGCGAGGGCTGTTGTGAGGACCACTCCTGGCCCCACCACATTTGCCGCCATCAGGTTGATCTAATGCGCTGCAGGTCGACCTCCATCAAGAGGGGCGACTATGCCGGCTGGGCCCAGGAGTACGCCATCTGCCTGCTGCACATGCTGCTGCCGCGCCCCGTGTCGGCCGAGCAGCTGCGCCTCATGCGCGCCTCCTTCATGCTCTCACACCGCGTGCCCGAGGGGTGAGTGCTGTGGGCCCTGCCCCGCTGCCAAGGGGCCCACACCCTGCGTCAGCACATTGCACCCTGCCACGCCTGACCCCCGTCCGCTTTCCCGCCTCTCCTGCGCGGGTTGTGCCTGCGGCGCTCCCACCGCAGCTTCGACTTCTGGCTCTACATCAATCTGTCCATGGAGGACGACTTCTCGCAGATCGTGGGGGTGTCGCTGGAGATGTGAGGGGCCGCATGCGCTGGTGTGCTGACTTGCGGCGCCGGAGCAAGCAAGCTACAAACATGGGCTCCTTCTCCACCTGTCTGTCATGCTTTCCCTGCCACCTCCCTGCTGTCGCCTCGTCATATTATGATGAGCCGCCGCCCGCCCCGGCTGCCGCAGGTGGATCACTCTGGATCAGCGGCGTGCTGGGCTGAAGGGCCATGCTGTTTGTGATCCTGTCGGGAGTCGTGCTGGTTGTCGTCAACGTCAAGCTCTTCTCTGTGATTCGGTGAGGCCCTGCTCGTGTGAACAACAATCAATGGGGTTTGAATGTTCATTCCATACATGCGTTTTCATCATTTCTATGCTACGGTGTGCGCCATGTCCTGCAGGCACGTGTGCCGCGGCGCCAAGGTTAACCAGCTCAGCTCCCAGGTGTTTTGGTTCAACAAGCCCGCCCTGCTGCTGCACCCAATCAAGTACCTCCTCTTCCTCTGCTCCTTCATGTTTGCCTCGGCGGTGAGCAACCAGCGGGCTTGATCAGCTCCCCGCCCTGGCATGCATGCTTGACGTTCTTAAAGTGTCTTGGGTGCATGCATGCGTGCATGCATGCGCGCCCCTCATAGCTCCCAGCCCCTGTGCCTGACCCGGACGCTTGCTGCCCCTCCTGCTAGATTTTCTTCGTATGGGTGAGCAAGCAGTGGCATCACCTTGCAGGATGCATGCGCAGCGACGGGGTGCTGGATGCAGCCTGTCTGTGCACAGCTGCCACAGCCTGAGTTCGCACCATCACCGCCAGGCGCCTGTCGTCAGCTGTTTCCTGCTCCACACCTCAACCCGCTGCGCTGCCTCCCGCCCCCATGTTCTGCAGTCGTTTGGCGCCCACTCCTGCCCCTTCAGCACCAGCTTCTGGTTTGCGTGGCTGCCCCCCTGGTGGGTCTCCCTCATCCTCAGCGGCCTCATCTTCTTCGACGCAGCGGTGCGCACCCTGCCCTGCTACTCGCTGGCGGTCCAGATGGGGTCAGACTTCAAGCACCACATGCTCCCCACGGGCATCAAGAACCGGCTGCTCAAGATTGCCGAGAGGATCAAGCAGAAGCACAAGGAGCAGCAGGCGGCCGCGGCGGCGGCCGAGGGCAGCCGGCGCGCCGGCGTGCTGGGCGGAGCGCAAAAGCTTGTGCAGCAGCTCAAGACTTGATGTCGGCTGCCGGGGGAGCACGCACCGCTGTCGCGTGCTGTATTTCTGTTCCCCATTGTATATATTGTGCTAACCACAGATATGTGCTGGCCACAGATATGATCAACTTTGCTATCGCAGTTTGCTATTCTGCTAGCATGCCGATCTGTCTCAAACCCAAAGCCACCTTTTTTTTTCTCATTTGATGTCACATCAACCTAATTTCATTGCTGCTCTGCTCTGCTCACGTCGAATTCGACTCGATCAAAAACTGTAGTAACCAGCCTAAGCACACCCCGGCAGGCCCAGGGCATGCACTTTCGGCTGACAGCTGCTGCACATGGCTATGCTGCGACTGATCTTGCTGATCTTGCTGCCAGCTGTTAAGCGCTCCTATGCTCCTCATGTCGTGGGCCTCAGGCGCCCCGGCACACAGCCGCCGCCGCGCCACCCGCCAGGACAAGCATCGACACCGCCACCACCGCGGCCACCTCGGCTGCATGCTTCTGCCTCTTCTGCGCCTCGATCTGCGCCTGCGCGGACAACGGGAGGACAGCAGGCACGCATCAGTGTCGGGCGTTAGCACGCTGGGGAAGCATTGGCGGCAGCACAGCACATCCATCCACCACCACCACCACCCACCTGCGCCTCCGCCAGCTCCTGCTCCCTGGATGCCAGCTCCCTGCCTGCACCCTGGCACTGCTCCCTGGCCTCCCGCAGCTCCCTGCTGGCCTTCTTCAGCCCGCCACGCAGCTCCGCCTCCCTCTGCGAAGCCTGCTGCTCCAGCTGGCGACCGGCCGCCTCGGCCGCCTCGACAGCCGCCGCCTCGGCGGCACGCGCCACGGCCACCGCGGCCTCCGCCTCCCGCAGGCGAGCAGCCAGCTCGCGGTTCTGGCTCTCCAGTGCCGCGGCGCGGGCGGCCTGGCCACGAAGCGCCTCTGCCTCTGCTGCCAGCTGGAAAGTGCGGGCGCCAAACTGCAAGAAAACACAACACGGCTCAGGTACGCGCATGTGTCATGAGAAACGGGGGCCAGCAGCCTTGGCGTCAGCGACCCGGGGCATGGGGCTGCATCCCCTTCCTGCCCAGCACCACCCGCATGCCACATCCCGAGCGCCCCACCTGCTCCGCCACCTTGGACAGCTCAGCGATGCGCTGCTGGTGCAGCTGCTTGGACACACTGTTGGTCTGCTTCTGGCTCTCCAGCGCCTCTGCCACCTGCTTCAGCAGCGCCCGCTGCTCGCCCAGCTGCTTGTCGCGGATCTGCAGCTCGCTGGACAGCCGGCTGACCTGCGGGCAACCAAGGCAGCACGGGGAGGTGAGCAGCAGGGGGCAGCCCAACAAACCCTCACAACCCCCGACCTTTCCCGTTCCTTAGGGCAGAAAGCACTCTCCCCACGGGAGCAACTCACTCTACCCAGCGCACCTCTGCAGACAGCTCAGACCGCTCCTGCTGCGCGTCGGCCAGCTCCTCCTCGCGGCGAGCCAGCTGCTCCTGCGCTGCCCACAGCTGCTGCGCAGCTGCCAGCGCGGCGCCCGCCTCTGCCGCCTTGCGCTCTGCGGCCTCCCTCTCGGCCGCGGCCGCCCCCAGGCGGGCCTGCAGCTGAGCCACCTCCTCCTGCACTTGGCAGGGTGGGGGTGGGAGCGGCGCAGGCCGGGCAGCAAAACGGGTGAGCTCAACTGTGTCTTCCCCCCTAGGCCGGTGGCGGGAATGGCGCTAGGGGTTGTTACACAAAGGGCACGTAGCAGGGCTGGTATTGACAAGCAGGGGTAATCATGCGGTAGAGGCAACTAGTAGCTTAAAACACGGTAGGCATGGCAAAGCAAAGTGGTATCACGCTCTGGCGCTAATTCAGCGCCGACGCAACGAAATCGAGATGCGCCCCACAGCTGGCAGCGGCCGCGATGGCGCAGCAATGCACAGAGCGCTCAATGGAACGCCAGGCGTTGCAGCCTGCTGGCGAGCCGGGCCAGCAGGCGGATTGAGAAGTACAGGAGCTGCAGCAGCGGCAGCAGCAGCGCCATCGGCGCCAGCGAGGCACGCGCCTGCAGGGGTGACAGGCGCGCCGCCGCCTCGCGCTCCGCCGTCGTGCGCAGCTGCGTCAGCGCCGCCGCCTCGCCACGGGCCGCCGCCAGCGCCTCCTCCAGAGCCTGACAGGCAGGGCAGGCAGGTGTGGGGACGTGGGCAGCGTACCAAACACTTGCTGGAATGCGCCCAGGCCAACAGGCAGGCCCGGCAGCCACCGCTGCCCGCTCACCATGACCTGAGTGGTGGCGGTGCGCCGCCCCTCCTCCTCCTCCTGCACCCTGCTCTGCAGCGCCTTCATGTCGGCGGTCTGCTGGCGCAGCCGCGCAGCCAGGCCCGCCGTCTCGGCGGAGCGCGCCGCCGCCTCTGCCGTGGCGGCAGCCAGCTTGGACTGGGCCGCCCCCAGGCTGGCGCTCAGCTCGCCAGACTGCCTGTCGGCGCAGCTGGCCCTCTCCTCGGCGCTCTGCAGCTGCTGCTGCAGGTCACGCAGCTTCTGCATGGACAGCTTGGCCACCTGCTTGGCGGCGGCGCCGCCGGGGGTGCCCTGCATCTGCAGTGGGCGCAGCAGGGGAGGCGAGCGGGCAGGGGGAGCAAACGGTCAAAACAGGGCCCTTCCAGGTGCAAGCGGCCGCCCTCTATTTGGCTGCACATCTGGAGAATCGTGGGCCAGTCCTGGACGAAACAGGAGGCAGCCCACCTTGGCGGCCTCCAGGTCAGCCACAGCAGCCGACAGCTGGCGTGTCAGCTGGTCGGCGCGGTGCTCGGCCTCCGCCTTGGCGGCCGCCATGGCGTCCCGCTCGCAGCGCGCCTCGGCAATCATGCCCAGCCACTCTGCGGGGCGCACGCAGCGGGCAGGCACGGCAGGTGAGAGAAGGGGCTTGCATGCGCGAGCACAAACCCCACCAGCCCATGCCCTGGCTGCCCGTTCCGGGACCCCGCCCGCCCTCCCACCCACCCACCCGTCTCGCTCTTCTCCTCTGCCGCGGCGCTGCTGGTGCCGTTGGCCAGGGCGCTGGCCAGCGACTCCCCCAGGTGCGCCACGGTGTCGCGCAGGCTCTCCACCTCCTCGCTTAGCTCGCCCACCTTGGAGTCGAGGCGCGCCACCTCCTCCTGTGGGGCCACACGCAACGGCAGGTTGCGCAACAGGCTGGCATGCTGCCACCTTCAATGCACAGCTGATTGTCCATTGCAGAGGCACCGCGGTGTGGCCATGTACCTGCGCCGCCTGCTTCTCCGCCTCGACCGACTTGCGTGCGGCCGCCTCGCCCTCGGCCTGCTCCCGCAGCTGCGCCACGCGGCGCTCCAGCTGGAACTTGCTGGCCTGCCAGTTGGTGCCCTGCATGCGGCGGCAGGCGGATGCGTGAGGTGAGGCATGGAGCGCTACAAAGGCCAGGCCAGGCCAGGGAGACACCACAGCCTCAGACAGCAGCCTCAGATGGGCTGCACACCCTCACCTGCACCGCCGTGTCAGCCAGGCGCTGCTCAAAGGCCGCCTGCGCCGCCTGCAGCTCCCCCTCCAGCGCCGCCACGCGCGACTGCGCGGCGGCGGCGCCCTTGGTGGCGACAGCCAGGTCGGCAGCCAGCGCCGCCTTGGCCGCCTCCAGCTCCGCCACCTTGGCGGCAGCCTCCTTGGCGCCGCCCTCTGCGTCTGCCGTCGCCCGCTGCAGCGACGCCTCCACCTCTGCCTTCTGCGCCCGCAGCTGGCTGGCGGCCTCAGCCTGCTCGGCCAGCTGCTGCCGCACGGCGGCCAGCTCAGCCTCCAGCTGCTGGCGGGCGGCGCCGGCCTCTGCCAGCGCAGCGCGCTCCTGCAGGGCAGCAACAGGACAGGCGGGTGACCGCTCGCCTCCTGTACGCGTCACATAGCAGCAATGATTGCCTCACACCTGCCATGCTGACAAGCAGGCAGGCGGCAAGCTAGCTATGCATTGCCAGCAGGCAGGCAGACAGCAGCCCCCGACAGCTACCTTGCTCAGCTCCGCCACCTTCCCTTCCAGCTCGGCCGACAGCTGGGCGGCAATGTCCTGCTGCGCATCCAGCTGGGCCTCCAGGCTCTTCACCTCCCCACACCTCTCCTCCAGCTCCAGCTGCAGCCCCCAGATCTTGCCGAAGGCCAGCTGGACCGTCTGCTTGGCGGCATTGCCCTGCAAGAAGTCAAGGCGAGGCAACGCGTGGGGGTCACCGCTGCTGCTAGTACTGTGTTGCGGACAGGAAAACGGACGCTGAGGCAACTGCGTCACAACCTGCTTCTCCGCAAGCAGCTATGGGTGTTGCTCCCACCTGCGGTGTGCCAGACATCTTGGTTTCGGCAAGCTCGATCGAAAGCCGCTCCACGTCTGCGGCCGCAGCCGCGTGAGCCGCCTGCAGGCGCTCCCGCTCAGCCTCCGCGCCCGCCACCCGCTGCTGCAGGTCGCGTGCCTCTGCCTGGCTGGCGGCCCGCTCGGCTCCAAACTCCGCCCTCAGCTCCTCCAGCTGGGCAGCTGTAGAGGCCAGGCTGGCACGCAGCTCCTCGGCGGCGGCGCCCATCTCGGCCGCCTGCGCCTCGGCCGCCGCCCTGCCCTGCTGCAGCTCGCCGCGCTGCGCCTGCATGGCTGCCAGCGCTGCGTGCAGCTCGCCGCGCTCCGCCTGCGCCTCCTCCAGCGCCTTGCTGGCGCTGTTGGCCTCGTGGCGCACGATGCCCAGCGAGCTCTGCAGCGACTCCACCTCGCCGCTCAGGCGGGTCACCTCTGAGTGCAGCGACTTGCGCTGGTCGGTCAGGCTGGTGATGGCCAGCTGCAGCTGCACATCTGAGTCGCGGTACTGCTCCACGCTGCGCTGCAGCTCCTCGCAGGAAGCCTGCAGGCGGCGCTGCTCCGCCTCCGCGGCCTGCACCGAAAGCGTGGCAAAGCAGGTCGCCAGGGGCATGGGTGCCGGGGCAGAGACGGCAGGCTGGCGGGCACGGCCACCACAGGAGCCTCCGTGGAAGATCAGATCACTGACAGGAAAGCAGCAACGCCACTCAGCGCATCGAGCAGGTACCGCCCGGGACCACCCGCACCTGTGCGCCAGCAGCCCTGTCCTCCAGGGAAGCCACCTGGCCCTCCAGCTGCGCCAGGCGCGCCTCCCTGGCAGAGATCTCCAGCTTGGAGTCCTCCACAGCGTCCTGCAGCTCGCGGATGCGCTGGAAGGCAAGCCTGCTGACCTCCTTGGCCGCCTCGCCTGCACAGGAGTGCGTGCATAGCAGGCACAGAGGATCAGCTCGGCTGGCCAGCCTGAGCAGTGTGCCATGCTCACCACCACAGCCCAGCCACGGCCTGGCCCCGCTGCTCACCCTTGGGCGTGCCGGTGTGCTTGGCGGCGTCCAGCTCGCTGCAGGCGCCAGCCAGCTCCGCCTCCAGCGCAGCCAGCCGGCTCTCAGCCTGGGTGCGAGCCTCCACGGCGGCCTCCTTGTCGGCGGCGAGCGCATCCACCTGCGCCTGAAGAGACTCAACCTGCGGGTGGAGAGAGGTGGCCGGCAAAGGGCAGCAGCATGCGTGAGATACAGTGGGTGTGTGCCGGCCAGCTGTTTCCCCTGTAGCTTCACCAATTCAGCAGCAGCACATCTCCCAGGCTGCCCCTCCACCCGCCCACCTTGGCGGCTGCCTCCTGCTGCGAAATCTCCAGCCTCATGTTGACGCCAGCCACCTCGCGCGCGCTAGCCTCCCTGGCCGCATGGGCCGCCTCCAGCTCGGCAACCTGCTGCGCCATGCTGGCAGCCAGCTCAGCCTCCTTGGCAGCGGCTCTGTCAGCCAGCTGCTGCAGGCGGGCGTCCAGCTCGCCCGCCCGCTGCTCCATGGCAGCCTTGGCAGCTTCTGCCGCCGCCAGGCCTGCCTGCAGCTCAGCCACCCGGCCCGCAAGCTCTTGCTGGGTGCGCTGTGCGGTGATGCTGGCCTCCTCCAGCTGGCCCTGGATGGATGCCAGCTCGGCGGTCTTGCCATCCAGCGCCGCCTGCAACTCCTCCAGCGATGCCTGAAGCGGGGCAGGGAGGCAACCAGGAGGCGGTGGGTTGTGGTGTGGGAAGAAAGAGGAGCGCAGCCAGGGCACGGTACTGCTGCAGCGGAGGCAATGCTGTTGGAAGCTTTTGGGCGCAGAGTTGAATGCGTGAAGCGTAGGTTGTGCCGCCGCCAGGGCACACCTGCATGTCAGCCAGCTGCTTCTGTGCGCCTGCCGCCGCCTCCTCCTCCTCCAGCTGCATCTTGCGGATCTTCTCCAGCGCCAGCCGGCTCACAGTCTTGGCGGCCTCGCCTGCGGTGAGGCAGGGAGCGAAAGAGTGTGTGCTGGAGGGATTGCAGTGAGGCTGGGAGTTCCAGGCACATGAACTGCATTCTGTGCCTGCTGTCCCACCGGGCAGCACCAGCACTCACCGTGGGGGGTGCCCACGCCGCGCGCCTCCACCACCTCCTGCCGCAGCGCCTCCACGCGCCCCTGCAGCTCTGCAGCCTGCGCCACAGCCGCGTCTTTCTCGCCCACAATCGCGTCACGCTCCTCCGCCGCCTGCTGCAGAGCATCCTGGGTCTCCTTGGCCTGCAGGCAGGCGGGCAGGCAAGCAGGCGAGAAGGTGAGCTGGGGGACCAGCGTGGGGCGGCTCAGCAGGCCACAGAGTCTCGCTCGAGCAGCCGTGCATATGCAGGCAGGCAGGCAGGCTTGAACGGTTTCAAGAAAGCACCGGCAACACCAGCCGCTGCTCACCTTGGCCTCTGCCTCGGCGCGGGCCGCCGCCATTTCCTGGCGAAGCGCCTCCAGCTGCTGCCCCTTGACGGCTACATCAGAGGACAGCGCCGCCGCGTCCCGGCCCGCCGCCTCCAGCTGCCCCTCCAGCGCGGCACGCTCGCTGCCCGCCGCAGCAAGCTCGTTCTCCAGCCTTTCCACCTGAGCCGCCAGGCCCGCCGCCTGCCCCTCGGCCTCCTCCCTGCCGCGCTGCAGCTCCGCCTCCAGGGCCGCCAGCCGCACCGTGGCAGCCACGCTGTCGGCCTCCAGGGTGGAGCAGCGGTCGGTGGCGTCACGCAGCGCCGCCTCCAGCTCACCCTTTATGCGGGCCGCCTCTGCCTCCGCCTGCATCATACATCCATAGGCCAGCAAGGTGCTTAGACCGGGCAATCCCAGAGAGGGAGGCACAGCAGGATGCGCAGCATCCTGGGCGCACGCAAGCCAAGGTGCTCGGCTAGCCCGCACCCACCTCGGCAAGCTTGTCCTCAGCCTCCTGCATCGCAGCGTCCCGCTGGCGGGCGGCTGCCTCCAGCCCCACAATGGCCGCCTCCAGCCCCGCCACGCTGGCTGACCTGGCCTCCGCCTGCCTGCGGTAGTCGCCCAATGCGCCCTGCAGCTCCTTGATCTTGTTGAAGGCCAGGCGAGCCACAATCTTGGCGCCTGCAGGGCACCAGAGCAGGGGCACAGTCAAACGGGTGGAGCAGGAAGAGCCAGAAGTCGGAAGGGCATAGGCCGCCGCCGGGAAATCGCCTGCTGGCATCACCAGGCCAGGGCCAGCGCTCACCCTCGCCACGCGGCGTGCCGGCCTTGGCCTGCGCCCGGAACTCCTCCTCCCGGATCTGCGCCGCGAGCAGGAAGGCGTCACGGGGTCACGCGGCGGCCAGGCCAGGCCGGAGCCCTAACCTGACGCCACAGGCACGAGGAGAGCACGCCCCAACACCCATTCATCGCAACCACCGCCACCACGGCTGTGCGCCTCGCCTGCCGCACCTGCAGCTGGCGCGCCACCTCCTCCATGTTGCGAGACATCTGGTCGGCCTCGCGCTCCAGCAGCTCGCGCTCAGAGGTCAGGCTGGCCACCTCAGCATCCAGCTCGGCCACCTGGCGAAGGGAGCGAGGAGGCAGCATGTCCGGTTGGGCATCAGGCTAGCGGCACAGCGTCATGGGCGCATAACAACCTGTGCGGGCCCAGCAGCTCTCCGCACCCCACCTTGACATCCATCGCTGCCTTGAGCTCCGCATTCATCGCCTCCAGGCGCGCAATGTCAGCCTGCATGGCCGCCACGGTAGCGCCCATCTCGGCAGCGGCGACCTCCCGCGCTGCCAGCTGCTCCTCCAGCGCCGCCTTGGCGCCCGCCAGCTGCTCCTGCTCGAGCTGCAGCTCGGAGCAGCGCCGCTGGGCGAAGACTGCCTCGGAGCGCGCCAGCGAGGCGTCGGCCTCAGACTTGGCGCCGAGCGCAGCCAGCTCAGCCTGCAGGGAGGCGGCCGCCGCCTCCTTGGCCGCCACGTCGCTCTTCAGCTGTGCGCGGATGTTGCTTTCAATGGCCAGCTGCAGCAGAGGGGGAAGAGAGTCAGGGGCGCAATCGGTTGGCACAGGCAGTTGCGGGAAGCGCGGATTGATGAGGCGACTTTGGCCGCCCAGCATGCTGCAGGGCCTCATCCTAGGTTGAGACAGGAGCTTCCTAGGCCCCAGCAAGCCGCCCCGTCAACCCACCCGCTTCTCTAGGTTGCTCCTCTCGGTGACCAGCGCCGCCTGCGCGCTGCACGCGGCAGCAAACTCGGCCTGCAGGCTGGACAGCTCGCCCTGCAGCTGCTGGGCCTGCTGCTGGGAGGCGTGCAGGGCCGCCTTTGTAGTCTCGTGCTGCTCATTCTGCGCAGCAGCAGGGCCACCCTCCAGCCAGGCAGTGTCAGTCACCGTCACAAACACCATGCTGCCGCAAATTCGATGCAGCAGGCGCACGCAGGTCACTTTGGGCCATTGCAGTACAGGTGCGGGACGGGACAGGCTGTTGGCGAGCGGTTGAGTCCTTAAAATGCAGACTGAAGCCCCAGCAGCCCCTGCCTCGCTCACCAGCTTGCCGGCCTCTGCGGTGGCAGAGGCGGTGGCGCGCACCAGGCTCTCCAGAGACGCATTCTTCTCGGCCTGGACGCGAGCCAGCTCCTGCTCCTTGTCAGCCACCAGGGCCGCATGCTGCATTGGGGCAGAGGGCGGGGTGGGCGGGTTGGCGAGTGCAGCAGGAGCGCAGGCCAGCCGCTGACGCATGAAAGCGGCACCCACCCCCCTTACAGGGGGGCCCTTCCCACCCCCCACCCCTCGCCTGCCCCTCCAGGCGCTGCTGCAGCTCCGCCTTCTCTTTGGCCAGGCGCTCATACGCCTCGCGCTCCGCCACCAGCGCCAGCTCCGTCTCCCTGCAAGGCAGCGGCGGCGCCAGCTCAGCGTCTGGCAAGCACTTCCCATTACGACGCACGCTGCGCCGCCAGGCACCCCACCACCCCACCTCAGCATGCCCATCAGCTCGGGCAGGCGCCTCTTGGCGCTGTTGCCCTCCGGGGTGCCCTGCAGCAGCAGCAGACACGTGCTGTACATGCCGTGCAGGCAACGGGCATCTCTGTGCATGCATCCAGACCGCACTTCGCCCACCCGCCGCCACCCACCCGCTTGGCCAGCTGCAGCGCATCCGCCAGCGCCGCCTCCTTCTCCCGGCTGATCTCCTGCTGTGCCGCCAGGTCGTGCGCCAGGCTGTTGCGCTCCATCCTGCAGGCGGGGAGGGGGGACAACACGCCAGCCAGGCGGGCGCCAACCACAGGCATGAAGGCGTGTACGCGTGCGCCAAGTGAGCACTCAAGCAGTCCGGGGATGCTGGCAGGCGCGCGTGGCGGGGACAGGCGCCCACCTCAGCGCCCCGCCCTCGTTCTCCAGCTCGGTCATGCGCCCCATGAGCAGGTCGCACACCTGCTCCATCTGCAGGGAGCACAGAGGGCGGCAGCAGGTGGCAGCAGGTGAGCCAGTCCCTTTGCAGCGCGCGACGATGCATGCATGCGCTGGGACAAGCAGCTTGAGGCCAGGGCAATGCCGGGCAAGACGGCCGACGCTGCAGCCTCAGCGGTTCCTGGGGCAGGTTGGTTTCTCCACACCTGCTCCACGCGGGATGCGGCTGCCCCCATGTACTCGGTGGCCAGGCGCAGCTCATCCTTGACGCTCCTCATCACCGCCTTGTCCACCCTGCCCGCCTTGCTGCCGCCCTGCTGCGTCGGAGCACAGGGGCGGGGCGGGCATGTGAGGCCGGCGCTCAGCATCATGCCAGTCCCGGCATGGCACCTTCAGGCATGCCTCCATCGGCGTGGAGGCGCTCCGGGGGGCCCTCCCAAGCACCCGAGCGCCCCACCTTGCCGCCGGCCGCCGCCGCCTCATGGTCCTGCAGCTTGCGCTCCGCCGCCGACACCTTCTTGGCGCTCTTGACATACTCCTCATGCGCCGCCACCAGGTTGCCGTACGTCTCCTGCGTGCGGCTCAGCTTCTCCGTCAGCTCCTGGATGCGGGCCTGCATGGGGGGCAGGCAAAGAAAGCTGGCAGGTCAGCTGGGGGTCCATGTGGCTGCAGCAACTGCCAGCACGGGAGGCGCAAACAGGGCTGGCGGGCGCAGCACTTCAGGGCCCACCTCGTGCTTCTGGGTGGCCGCGGTGTCGGCCCGGGCAAGGGCGGAGTCCAGCGCCGCCCGCTCCCCCTCCAGCCTGCGCTCGATATCCCGCTC